ATATCAGTGGATTTTGCTTTCAGACGTATTCAATATTTTGACATCAAATCAGTCAGTTCAACTCAAAAAGTATCTGAGTACCTTTAAGCCAAAAAATAAAAAAACAACTCAAAACTAAAAATGTTCAAATATGTAAGTGAACTTAATTTTGTTTTATTTATCTTTTATTTCTATTTTATTTCTATCAGGTACTAAGAGTATATAACTTAAATTATTTAATAAAATACATTTCCTTCTTTATTTTAGTTGGTTGTCCTTTTTGCTGCTTTGTTTGCTGCTGCCATGGCTGTTCCTGCACCCATTGGTAGTCCAAACCCTAACCCTGTTCCAATGCCAGCACCAGTACCTTCTCCACAGTTTTATTATGGTACTCCATATTCTTATTCCGGTTATTATTCATCACCATATGCCTACTATGGTTGAAAGAAAAACTTCTGAAGAGATACTACGATTGCGGAAAACGAGACTCACAACACGAATCTGGAGATATGAAAAACTGTTGTAAAAATTATTATAAAAAATGTGAAAAAAAAATGCAATGAAACTAGAATAAATTCTTTATATGGTTAATTCTTATATGATATGATATGATTAATTCTTCTTTATATGATGTGATTAATATTTCCACAATTAGAAACAATTGACGTTTAAGTGATACATCATTATCAATGCGAAACGAAAACCATTTCCACTTTATATTATTAAAAATTACAAACAAAATTAACTAAATACGTACTTCGAATAGAAAGTAATTAGAATTATAAGAAAAAAAGCAAATAAATCATCATTCAATCAAAAGATATTTTGTAGTCTTCGAAGTTGACCGCCTTGAGTGCTATATAATTATGTCACCGCTTGAGAAAATCCTCCACATATTTTTTGTGGACTAGTTTATGTATAACCTAATAAATATAAAATCCTTATGTGGTTTTCTTTTCTTTTATTAGTCTTAAATAAATGCTTGATTTTGCGATGGCTTTCGCTAGAGTAGAGATTAATTTTCAAAACGATTATTCTAGACCGCGATTCTTCATACGCTGATATATGGACGATATCTCGTTGTTAACTGTTTTTTTCAAGAAATTGTATTGAAAGTTTATTGCTGTGGTTTTAGATATTCCAGCACAAAGAGACAAGATAAGTGTGCGATCTGTTAGTTTGGTTTGGATTTCATAATTGATATTGAACCATATTATTCATTATTTTGAATTATGTAAAAAATAAATTACTGTAAAGGATTATTATAAAGGAGTGAAGGACTTTCTCCTTCACTAATTAATAATTTTGGAGTTACTAGAAGGCTATCAAAACCGGTTTTGATGTCATCTGCAAATCTTATACATGGATATTTACAAATATGAACCCGTTTTAGTCACAGTATATAAAATCAACATATTTCATCCATTTGACGACTGGATCTGCTAGGTTTCGCATATAGAGTATTTGCAAAACTTCCAGCCGGTATCAAGATTGAAAAAGGTGATCATTTTGTCGAATTGGTATTTAACTATAATAGTAAGCATACATATTTGACTTTAATATTGATTATTCCAATCTTGAATTCAATTATGGCAGAGTTTAACCAATTACAGTGAGCACATTTCCTAGTGAGCATAATTTTTCTAAAATTCATGCCTAAAAATCAGTGATTTCATAAAGTTAATACAAATCTGCAAAGTAAAATCCTGTAGTCCATTCTCCGAACAGTTGAAAGACTTTAATTGCTTTAAAGTGATCGTTATCTGCTTTACCATTCTGAAATAAAGATTTTATGTTGATATATATTTAATGATATCGTAAATATAGGTATTAATTGTATATAGAATATATGTACATAAATAACATTGTCATCTACATCTACGAACTAAGTTCAGATATTTACTAAGTAGTAGAAAGTAGCATTAAGTAAATATTTTAACCACACCGAGAAATAATCGTATCTATCAGTTTAACAATAATAAAATACTTAGTTCGATTTTTTTTATTTGAAGAGTGTCAAGATCGAGATATTTAAAATAGAATTGCAAAGTCAGATCAATTTTATTAAACGAACAGTATATGAAATTTAATAGGATTTAGTTAATAATGCTTGGAAAGTAATTATTTGTGATTGAAATAACCACTAATAGCAATTTCTCAAAGCCTTGCTTGAGGATTGAGATAGTATCTTTAGGCAAATCTGTACTTGATTTAGAAAAAATTGATGAAATAAAATTGGTTAGACTGTTAAAAGCGCAGATCAAGATAACAGATAAATTGAAGAATCGAACGTAATTAAGAAAAACTAATCTTTGTCAACAATAACTTTGTCAACTTACTTACTTATGTCTAATTGAATTTAGCAAATATTTTTATGTTTGCATAATATATTTTATATAATATTCATGTAAGTAGTCAGCCTTTCGAAGCAATCGCTTGAGAGATTAAAGCATTCCTTATCAAATTATATTTTTAATATACAAATAAACATTATTATTTAATATTTTTTATTTATAAAATACTTAACTCAAAATCAAAATTGCACTACTACCAAATGCAGATTATTTTATATTCTACCAATCACTGGAACACATAGGCTTTAATGATTTAACAAGTTATTTTTTAAAGAGATTATGAGGATAAGGAACAGGATAAAGATAAGGATTTATTAAGAATATTTATCTAAAGACTATTAAAATAATATTAACATTTATTATAATTTTTATTTATTATATTGTGTATCCATTTTCAAGTTTACATAGTTTACATATTCTGGTTTGATTTCTTTTAACATTAATTTAGAAGATACTTTACATGGAAGTCAAATATAACTAATGCAATTAAGAAGTAGTGACTAACACTACTATAGATTCGACTGTATTTAGCCGCATTTAATTTTTAAACAAAATGTTACAAAAATATTAATATTCTATCAACTGGTGGATATATAAGAATTTACAATTATTTTTTACTTATAGTCAGATATAAGTTTCACAACATGTTAGTAATTTGTTAAGATAATATATCTGTTATAGCTGACTAGTACTACTATAGATAGGACTATATTAAATCGTATTTAGTTCTTTGTTTCAAAATGTAATAATAGAAACAATAGTATTCTAACAATTAGTATTACTAACTGGTACTTTCTAACAACTAATTCTTACAACTAATACTACTGACTACTGACTACTACTATAAATACGACTATATATAGTCGTATTTAGTTTTTTTACAAAATTTTATAAAAATTATAGTATTCTAACAACTGGTGGATATATAAGAAGTTACAATTATTTTTTACTTATAGTCAGATATAAGTTTCACAACATGTTAGTAATTTGTTAAGATAATATATCTATTATAGCTGACTAGTACTACTATAGATAGGACTATATTTAATCGTATTTAGTTTTTTGTTTCAAAATATAATAATAGAAACAATAGTATTCTAACAATTAGTATTACTGACTGGTACTTTCTAACAACTAATTCTTACAACTAATACTATTGACTACTGACTACTACTATAGATCGACTATATATAGTGGTATTTAGTTTTTTTACTAAATGCTATAAAAATAATAGTATTCTAACAACTGGTGGATATATAAGAATTCACAATTATTCTTTACTTATAGTCAGATATAAGTTTCACAACATGTTAGTAATTTGTTAAGATAATATATCTATTATAGCTGACTAGTACTACTATAGATACGACTATATTTAATCGTATTTAGTTTTTTGTTTCAAAATATAATAATAGAAACAATAGTATTCTAACAACTAGTATTACTGACAAGTACTTTCTAACAACTAATTCTAACAACTAATACTACTGACTACTGACTACTACTATAGATACGACTATATATAGTCGTGTTTAGTTTTTTTACAAAATTTTTTAAAAATAATAGTATTCCAACAACTGGTGGATATATAAGAAGTTACAATTATTTTTTACTTATAGTCAGATATAAGTTTCACATGTTAGTAATTTGTTAAGATAATATATCTATTATAGCTGACTAGTACTACTATAGATAGGACTGTATTTAGCCGCATTTAATTTTTAAACAAAATGTTACAAAAATATTAATATTCTATCAACTGGTGGATATATAAGAAGTTACAATTATTTTTTACTTATAGTCAGATATAAGTTTCATAACATGTTGGTAATTTGTTAAGATAATATATCTATTATAGATGACTAGTACTACTATAGATACGACTATATTTAAGCGTATTAATTTTTTTGTTTCAAAATATAATAATAGAAACAATAGTATTCTAACAACTAGTATTACTGACTGGTACTTTCTAACAACTAATTCTTACAACTAATACTACTGACTACTGACTACTACTATAGATACGACTATATATAGACAATATATAGTCGTATTTAGTTTTTTTACTAAATGTTATAAAAATAATAGTATTCTAACAACTGGTGGATATATAAGAATTTACAATTATTTTTTACTTATAGTCAGATATAAGTTTCATAACATGTTAGTAATTTGTTAAGATAATATATCTATTATAGATGACTAGTACTACTATAGATACGACTATATTTAATCGTATTTAGTTTTTTGTTTCAAAATATAATAATAGAAACAATAGTATTCTAACAACTAGTATTACTGACTAGTACTTTCTAACAACTAATTCTTACAACTAATACTACTGACTACTGATTACTACTATAGACACGACGATATTTAGTCGTATTTAGTTTTTTTTACAAAATGTTATAATAAAAGTAATAGTAGTTTAACTGGTGGATATTTCAGAAATTACAATTATTTGTTAATTTTAGTCAGAAATGTTAGTTGCAACAAATTAGTAACATAAATATAACAGTTGCGAATACTATAGAATAGTTGTGTTACTTTTAAAGGTGGTTATATCTAAAACTATATCTAAATTACTTTTACATAAATGTACTTTTTTAAAATAAGAATTAATTTCTTAGTTATACAAATAATGAAGTACGTGTGAAAAATGTTGTCGATTAGATCGACTTATTAAGTACCGAATATGATTTATGGCGCTGGGTTAGCTGACGATGAGTAATACACTGTGATTTCAGACGGCATACATTTTCCTTTTCCTTAGTATTGTCAATTTGAGAGTTTTCAATACTTTCGTCTGCACTAGATTCACCAGATCCACTTAATTCTGAAAATATAAAAATTATATATTAAGATATAAACCAAAAGTAAATCTTTTTAAATAACTTCTAAACTCTTTAAAGAAGGAGTTGTTGTATTTACCATATTCTTCCTCCTCACTTGTATCGCTGCCTTCCTCGAGGCTTGTATCGCTTTTAGTTTTGCGTTTAACAATATTTGTATAAAGTTGTGATTCAGATTCTTGGTTAATATTTATGTTGCTTCCCTGGTCCTCAATAGAGTTATCTCTCTGGTTTGGTATATAATTAGGGTTAACATAAATTGAACTCTTCAACTTGACAGTTCTGGAGTAAAATATAGGCCCAATTTGTATTATATTCTCAGTAACAAATTTAATTCTGTCCGGATTTGAAGTCGCAGAAGTATTTTTATTGCGCGGCGGAGTGCTTTCAACAGATGTTAATGTACCTGATGAATCAGGAGTTGAAGTCCGATTATTTTGGTTGCCAGGATCGGATTCTGTTTTTATATCAACATTAGACAAGAACTCACTGAACTCATCACTTTGCCTCATCAAATTAGTTTCATAGTTAATATTATTGCTTTCAGTCATATAGTTTTCGTTGTTACCATAGATCCAGTTATTGTATGACTGGTTTACGTTACTTTCATAATTATTACCATTGATGAAGTTGTCATTTGTTGCTGCAGAATCATGAAACTGGGAACTGTTTGATTCCGTTAAGCCTAAACTTGCAGTATAAGATGCAGTCAACTGATTTGAATGATTAGTATTTACTGAGGTAGGCATGGAAGAATTACGAGTCAATGGATTAGTGTTTGTTGATGTTATGTTCTCAGCGGATGCAATTGTTGAAGATGGTATTGTTTGCGTGGTTTCATAAAAATTTTGAGTTGGATTTATTACAATGTTATTAGAGTTAACATTATTTTGGACTCGATTTGCTGCTTGGCCACTATACCATGGATGCGAACTATCAAATTGCATTATAAAACTTTGAGATCGTTCCATTGAATCCGTCGTATTCATATGCATATTATTCACCGTATAACTGACTTCAGGGTTTTCACATGAGTAAAAATTATTGTTAGCACCCGAAAAACTATTTCCATCTGTTTCATTCATTTCAAAATATTGGTTAGCTTGCAAATATTGGGCATCTAAACATAATAATATGAATATATATTTCATATATAAATTAGCATACATTCATATACTTACCAAATAGGTCAGAACTACGTAAGTATGGCATATTTGGAAATGTAGAATTTGTACATATAGGTACATATATTCGAGGCACTGGAGAAAACTGTGGAAATGGAAATAAATTAGGGCCAAAAGAAAATACGGGATGAGGATGAACTGGGAGAAAAGGTGTCGGTTGGAAAATTTCAGGTGAATGTGGATACTGTTGGTTTTGATTAAATGAATTTGAATGAAATCGAGAAGGTTGACGGGAAAAATAAGAGCGTGGAGGATACAGTTCATCTGGTGCTATATAAAAATAAATAATATTTTTAGTTAATTATTTTTAATTAAATATTAATAAATACCTTGACGGAATCTCCCACTTCTGCCACGAAATGGATTATATCTATTATTTACTCCATATTGATGTAAATGGTAGTGATTTTGTCCAGGCATATTTAAATTCTCTAAACAAATAATTTAGAAATTTTTAATAAAATAATAAATATTTACTAACTAAGCAACTATCCAACAACAACACTATTATATATATCAATATAAAATTTTCATTTCATTGGTAAATTACTTGATACCAAATTACTTGATACTAAAAGACAAGTTGAAGAGAAAATGGGTTCAATATAATTCTTTTTGTTGGACGTTAAAGGATTAAAGTGATAATATTGAAACACTAACATGTTTCTGATAGATATTTATGTATGTATCTACAAATTAGGTTATTTTATTGGTAAAATTTTATTGTGATTGAGGTTTTATGTTATACATTTGAACCTCATTAATCGGGGATCCCAAAGGAAGAGCAAACCCACTTGTAAAATGGAGCTTGGATTGAGGGAAAAAAATTTGATTAATAGAGTTTTTTATTTTTACTTCTTAACTTTTCGAATTAAATAACAATAATTTAAATATATACATATTTATACACATATGTACATCAATGCATATTATATGATGATGAGGTACATAAAATATTTTCATATTGTGATTTATATCAATTTAATATTATACACAACTAATTATATAAATATTAATTATTTAATATTTATAAATATTAATATAATCTTATTATATATAAATATAAATACGAATTTATTGGCTCCAGTGAGACAGAAATATGGACTTAGAGAAGTCGGTTTTGATATATTATGATATGATGATATATTATATTTATTGGAAAGCAAATATAAATATAATACTAATTAAATTTGCACTTTATTTATTAACATATCATTTATAACTGACTTAGTATCTAAAATGGAGTTGTAAAGAAATTTTAGTTCGACATAATACAGATACGAACAGCGTCAAAAAAGTGTCTTTGAGTCTGTGACTATTACAGAAGATCTACAACATCGCAAAATATTTTAGAAATCTTTTTTTTTTATTTCATAGATGAAAGAAGCAGTATCTGTAAAAAAATATACCATCCCTTAGATTTAATATTTAATCCCTTAATATTTTTTGTAAAATATTTTATATAATTTTAGTGCAATCGAACCATTTGGGGTGTTTCTATGTGTTCCTCGTGGATGTATATTTGACCTGTTCTTGCGTATATTATTGTGGCTGTAACTGTATTTGTAGTTGGAAGCGCTTTGTCTGATCTCATACCCTAGCTGTTGACGAATGAGTATCTAGATACAAAGTGATTCGGTTGGAAAATAAAGTTTAAAAAAAATTGCTTCAAAATCTCAGTACACACGAATTGACTGCAAAGGCGTAGTAAGTATTTTATAGCAAATGATCTATTATTAACTGAGAGGGTGTAGCATACTCCTTTCTTCATTGACCATTCGCTACACCACTGGCAGGTTTGAACTAGTTCCTAGTATGTAATTGGCAACATATTTAATTTGTACGATGTCCTAAATGAGATACGAGTATGGTACGAAGTAAAAGCGTGACTTTTATTAGTTGTTAATAAGATGAATATGCATGGGGGACTTAACCTACGTTTTATACGTTTTATGGTGAATTCTATTTTAAATATTTTACTTAAATTTACTTAATTAAGGAATTTTTTCGAGCTACAAATTTACACACACTCGTTTATGTGTGCAGTTAATGCAGTTACAGATACAGGTACGGGTACAGGTAGAGCTATAGGTAGAGCACAGGCTGTGCATATGGAATATGCAAACTTTGGTACTGGCTGTGCAAAGGAAATTCTCACGTCAAGTTCTGTTAGCGGTCGGAAATAAGTGCAGTCTTCGTTTGAAGAGAAGTAAATTTGAATTGAAAGGAGACTCGGTTAACATAGGCGAATGTGTGCAATTTAATCTAACTTTATCTCTGAATAACACAGTAGAGTAACTACAATTAATATAGAACCAGATATGATTGAAGGTTGTTGCATGCTTTGATCAACCACTTCACATACTTCACATATTCGTAAATATGCACATCGGACACAGGTTGTGTTGCAATCAAATTATATGTTTTTTTTTTTTTGTACATTTATTTTACAGTGAAGTTATGAAAAATGAAGTTTCTAGAATAATTTTACTTGAATAACTCACACTAGGTGAGCTGTAGTCTTACGAGTATGTCTTCTGCATGTACGACTATTTCTTCGATTCGGTGATTTTGGTGGTTTCGGTGCATTCGGTGCATTCGATGTATGGCAATGACTTGCATTGAGGAAGGACTAAATAAGTTTCTGTCTAACTGTTATTGCTGGTTAATTACGGGATCAAATGAACATTATTTCATTGTGAATTCTAGTGTGTAAAACAAATTTTATAGAACGGATTTAACTGCAGAATAATACATAGTACGTTATCTGTTGAGGTTAATGCAAATGTACATACTCAGATGAATGCACTTGGAAATGTTAGAATGTCATGTTATAATTGTGCACCGATGTGTAACGAATTAAAAATACTTGTTTAATATGAAATAGGAATTAACACTAAGAATAGATTCTACATATAAATTCCATATTCTTAATTTGATTTTCAATAGTTTATTAACTTTTGCGTAATTTAAGAGCAATACTTTGAGGAAAACTACTTATATATTATATTATAATCAATATAAGTGACAAAATGCAAGTCTTTAAAATTGTATGGATAGAAAATGAATTGATTTTTGAAGAATAAAGCGTCTGAATCTTAGGAGTGTTAACTAGTCTAACTACAGTTAGTATAATACCCATATTTAAAGTGCGCTTGTTATGAGGAACTTAATACATTGGATTGAGTTCTAGATAAACACTAATTAGCTTAGTTCTATGAGAAAACTTTTTATATGATTAGCTCTACATACACGTAAACTGAATTTATTTAAGAAAAAAATAAATTAGGCATCCTTTATAATTAGGCAATAAAGACAAAGCCGGTAAAACTTATAAAATAAATGTAAACCCTGTCATACATACACGATGAACAAGTGGTTGATAAGCGGCGGAAAAATATACCAAATGAAAGATGTTTGTTTTTATACAACCCAAGTCCTCCCCATCTTTGTAACAGTTTTGTTACAAAGTGTAATTGTCTAACTTTGGTTTTTGATATTTTAAAGATTTGATATGAAATCTATGGTTTTGATAGACGAATTGAAGTAATTTTTTTGAACTGACTTCAATCCGAAATTAAGACTAAATAGAAAATTATTCTTTTTTAAAATTAAATAAATAAATAAATAAATTTAAATAAATTTTAATTTATTAAAAGTTAGTTGTTAAAAAAAAAATATTAATTCCTTTCGTACGAAAATACTTTTTAAAATCAAAGATAGAAACCATCCTGGCTTAAATCGGTTTTTCTTTAGTGAGATAATAACATTTAAAATTGAAATCACTGTAATATTACATTCACGTGAAATCATAAATAATTAAAAAAACTTCCTTGGGAACTAAACTTTACTTGGTTTTCTATACAATGATTTGATACACTGAAAGCCAAAGACTAAATTAGTTGATATACCGAACGTTAAAAGAAACTTATGTTGATTTTGATTGGCAAGTTTTTGACAACTTTTTCACTTGTGATTTACTTTAAGTACAGTTTTATTTTCAATTGGTTAATCTCAGGCAAAATGTACAATACACCAGATTAATTTATAACACTTCAAATACTTAGCGTAATATGGATAAAATTACATACTTAAAATTATGTATTTGGCATTTCAAATATTGTGATTACTTTAATATTAGAAGTTAAAAATTAAATTAATATAATATAATAAAAGAATTAAATAATACAACATCTCAAATCAGTCATAGTCTGAGCATGATTCTTCTGATATTTCAACATATTCAATGGTTTTATAAATATCGATAAAGCAAGAATACCAATGCTGGAGAACTTTATAGACAATGTTATTAATTAAAAAGTATGCGGAATAAGAAGTTCATAAAAAAATTTATATACATATAAATATATATATAGTTATAAATATATATTTTATATCTAATATATATATATACATATATTTTCACATTAAGTAAAAATATATTAGCCATGGTATTGCAAAAAATATTATACAAAAATTTAATGACATTTATGTTAAAAATCAAAATTAAAATAATTTTTCCGTTTTCTCCAATTTATATTTTGACGCAATAAAACGAAATCATTGTTTTTCTCAGACAATAACAGATTTCTAACGGCACAACTAATCAAGCGTTATAGATGGACTCTAAAGCAAAAAAAAAAAATGCACGTCAGAAATAAGGAGCACAGACGAATGAAAATAAAAACAACAAAAAAACTTATAAAGAAATTAAAAAAGACGCGGGAATAATTTGAAAAAGTATTAGCATTGCATGCATGTATATCTATCACTTTTACTCATTACATTTTGCACATAGTTAAGCTGAGACTTTTTGTAATTTTATATACAAATATATTTACTTGATATGTATATGAATTTATTTCTAAAAAATTCCAATTTATATATATTATTATATATTTATATATATTATTATATATTTATATATATTATTATATATTTGTACATATTATTATATAGTCATATATATTTTTAAAATAAAAATCATTTTATTTAATATATTGCAAATAATTGTGATGAGACGCAGCATTGCTTTGGACAATAATTGGGTGTGAAAAAGAGAGAAATATACATATATTTCTTTAACAACGCAGTTGCAGCAGCATACACAAGCAGTTGATAGATTGCGCAAACAATACTGATAGATATATATATATATATATATATATATATATATATATATATAAATATATATATGTATATGTATGAAATAAAAATACATAGAATTTAAATATATGGAATATATAGATATGGAATATAAATATATGAAATATAAATATATGGTATATATTTAAATGGTTTCCATATATATATATATATATATAGTATATGTATATAAAACATAATTATTTGAAATATATACATATATAATACAATTCAACTATGTATGTATATATTGAACGATACTAATTACTGACACCACAGTAATAGAAATAAAATTTCCCAGTTAATTGAGGATGGAAAATTTGAAAAAACTGGGTTAAGAATTTTAACAAATTGTACGAGTTTTTTAATTTTTTTTAAGACTTTTTGAAGAGCAATGGACGCAATGATGAGCGCCCTTTTAATTTATGTACAAAATCAGTCAATTTTGCTGCCTATGACATTTATATATATATATAAATTTTTTTCTTTTAATATTGAATTCAAATTTTTTTTACAAATTCGTGTTTAAATATTTGAGGTTATATTGATTAGTGGTAGTTAATAAGAGATATCAGTACAAATAGCATTACTTTTAAATGAAAACTAATCATTTGCGAAATATAAGTTTTTGGCTTCTTTCAAAATGGCGGAACTTTTTCATCTACAAAAACACAACATTTTGGACACAAACGTTTCTAAAAAAAAAAAGACATAAAAAATACTTAATATGAAATTTATACGAAACTTATTGTTTTTTTTATACAATGAGCGCAAAGGCCTAAGTAGATCCCCTAGGGATCGCCGGTATAATCTAGTGTTTTTTTTTTAAGATAAAGTTTAAACGAGCGCCAAATTTAAGTGAATTGCAAATATTTCTATTTTGACTAAATATTACTTACTTTTTTCTCAAATTGAATTGTATTTGCGTATGAATTTATGTTGTTAATTAATTAATGCACAAACCATTAATGTTAGGCGACACTTTGAAAAAAAAAATATAAAAATATATTTACGAAATATTGATATCAAAATTTAGAGCTCAGCGCGCACGGTACGATAAGACGCACTTGAATGAAAGTGAAGGCTGAAATGAACAATGCAGTCCTACAATGGCACCCCTTTGTACGAGTAACGTAGAACGTAATGTATTTCTATAAATCACAGAGTTGTATTTATAAAAACTTACTTTGGATTTTTGCACAAATGTTATATTGTAGTAACAGAAAATATATGTAAGTATAATAAATTATATTATTGCGTTGCGCACCGTATCATTATAACTCAATACATATAATAAAATAAATAAATGGCCTTTCTAGAAGTTTGCTGGTTGTGGCAAAGTTCATTGAAAAAGTGAAGGGAGAAGAGATAAAATTTTCCAGTTAAGTGAGGATGTTGAAACAGACAGTTTTGTTGCCTATGACCACCTCAAATTATAAATTGATTGATTAATGTGATCAGCGTTTAGGTCTTATTTTTCCCAATATAAAATTTCAAGTAGCAAAGCATGTTTAGTGTGAACAGCTGATTTTTGTTAACATAACATTGTTCACCATAGTATGGTGAAAAACGTTAGGCAGTTGAGCTCTAAAATTGAACAATATTTGCACAGAATAAGAAAAAATTTTTTATTGATAAAAATCTTTATTAATTATCAACATTTGGTTAATTTATCATGCTCACAGAATTAGTCTGTTTATCTGTTTAATAACAACTTACTCTTATGGGTGAAAAAGTATGCGTTCTCTTGTGTTCCTTCGTTCAAAATTATATATACATATGTATGTGTTGAATGAAGGAGGATACAGTGATTGTATTTTGAGACAGGTGACCAATTGCTTTCTTGTAGTGCATAGTTTTCTCAAATTTTTGAATGTTTTGAATGTAAGCAGAATAACAGGGCAATTCTGGCAAATATAGTTAAAAGTTTTTGAAAAGATAGAACGAAACACAGTATGAAAGATTTTTGCTATTCTGGCTCAAAAAAAAAGTCTTTCAAAAACACTTTTATGAAAACAATCACAAGGATTCGTGATAGAAACCTATTTTGTGTAGTTTTCTGTCTCTTAAAAGACAGCTGTTGAAATACAAAATGTCTTTGAAAAGAGCTCTGACTGTGATGAGCTCAACGATAGTTGCCAGAATTGTCCTGTAAATATTGCTGGAAGAGTAGTGGTTGTCTGTAGTCCATAAGTTAAAAGAATAATACCTGTTTAAGAGAAAAAGGTGTATAATGAAATAGCATGTTTCTTTGCTATGGTTAGTCAAATGTTTAAAAGAAATTGAATAAAAAAATAAGAGAAATGTATAATAAAATAAGAAAGTGACGTTACAAAATATTGGACGTTACAATGTTATATATAAGGCATTGTGCTTGCAACCCTATCTGCTGTTCCATTTTTTAGCGATTGGGCGCCAGCCATTAACGAGTACACATCGTGTTACGCAGTACTCGTGCGTTCGTTTTTTCTAGTACTAGTTACAAACAAACGAACATATATCGTACTCGTTCGTATGTTGCTCGGTCTTGGGTTTTTTTAAACAAGCGACACATTCCGATTTGTCGGTTTTGTATTACTTTAGGTACACAAAAAAAAAAATTACTTTGGATGAGTAATCGATAAGCGATAAAGCAAGTAGTCACGAGTATGTAAATTCGTTCCCGTGTAGACCTCAAATAGATGTATATAGATTTTCTTAATTAATCATATATAAAAAAAAGCATTGTCTTTGTGTTTTTTGCTAGTGAAACTAATAGAATATCAACGACATAAATGATATAAACTATATAAGAAAAGTGTGATAAAATTATAAAAAAAAATAATAAAAATACGTAAAAAAAAAAAATAATGAATATATTAAAAATTAAAAATAAAAAATTGAAAATAAAAAATTGAAAATAAAAAATTGAAAATAAAAAATGAAACAAAAAAAAAAAATTATAATAAAAAAAGTATATAATATAGAAAAATAAAATTATTATAGCATAAAATAAAAAAAAAAAATAAAGCAAATAATATAACAAAACTATTGTTGATTTTTTTTCTTCAAATACTTAGTAAGAATACTTGCTCAGCATTCTAGTTTATAATAAAAATATTGTCTCTATCTGTTTATCCTTAATAGTATATATTAGTTTCGTCTATTGAATTATATTTTCTGTAAATATCTTTTTCATAAATTGTGTATTATTGTTCCTAAAACACAAATCTCTAACAGGATTCGTAAATCAGGATTTAGATTCTGATAAAACTATAATTCTAATAATTATACTTAATATATGTATATTGAGAAAATTGCATTATTTGATTGCATATTATTCTGACTTTATAATTCTAAATTCTAAATTTTCTGAAAAAATCGTACCCATATTGTATTTATTACAGTCAAACTTCCATAACTCAAAGTACTATTTTGTAAAGAAAATAATCGACTTATGGAGACTTCGAGTAAAAAAAATTATATATAACTTCGTATACCTTGTTGCATTCTTTTTTATTTGAGTTATAGAAAATTCGAATTATAGAAGTTCGAGTTATGAAAATTTGACTATTCACCAAAGGAAGTTTTATGATGCTTGAGGTTATTATTTGTTTAATTTTTTTTTTGCTTTAAATTTTTTTATATTTTCTAAAAAATCGATTAATTTTTATTTAATTTAAATAATTAAATGAAAGTAAATAATTATACTGTTTTATAACCCCAATCATACTTTTTATCAATTTCTACATTATTGCAAACTAAATAAAAAATTACAAAGATTAATTTTTGAAAAATAACACACAAATTTAAATTTTTTTCCATATTTATTTAATCTCCTTCAAAATATGCTTCTTCTGAAGCGATACACATATGCCAACGCTTAACCCAATCTTCCATACACTTTTCGTAGGCCCGTACAGGTATGGGTTTTAGTTCCAGTCGATTCAATCGACTGAAAACGCTTACCACGAAGGGGCAATTTGAGTTTCGGGAACCGGAAAAACTCGCACGGCGCCAAATCTGGGGAATATGATGCGTGAGCGATAACAGTGGTGCCGTGTTTGGTCAAAAAATCGCGTACAACAAGAATTTTCCATAGTAAAAATCGCAAAAGGCCCTTGAGGTAGTCTCATATTAACAGCTGCTGTAAACAAACTAATTGACAGATGGCGCTCAAATTTGTACCATATGTCAAAAAGGTGTACCAATATAACAAAAAAATTTTTAAAAAAAGTTCTATTATTTAAGGAGTAGTTAACAAAATCCGGATACTTTTTAATTCTAGGATACTTTTAAAGGTATAATTCTATGGTTTCAACATATAGTATCTTCTCAGTGCTATTCAACAAGGCAACGGAGTGGGTGTTAACATAACAGATGGAATCATATGAGAAGCGTTCAAGATAAGCTATTTTCGAGAAAATCTATTCACAGATAAAAACTTTTGGATACACGACGTGGTGTTGTATTATGACATCCAACATTATGATTAGTTGGATTGTGTGCTTGCATTTAAATAATTATTAATCCAAAACATAATAACCATAGGTGCTTTTGTCTTATCAAACTCAATGATGAGTATAGTATACTCTATAATAGATGAGGTAATCAGTTCATTAAACTTCACTAAATAATGCTTGAGTTTGCATATTCAATAGCACTTTTTATACTCCTTTATTACGAACAGTATAAAAGAGTTATTTAATTAATCCTTATGTTGAGATATAAATCGACTGTAATGAGTTGGTAACAATTTCATATAAAATTACTGTTGTGCCACATTTCGAAAAGAACTAATTCCGAAAGTGCCTTTTAATGACAAATTTTCAAATATAAATACTAATTGTGTTAATATTGCTAGAAACAAACACACAGAAATATAAAAACATTTAGTTTGCCTCTATTAAAAATACCATGAATTCTGAAGAGGTGCACGTAATGGGAAAAACATGTTTGTTCAAACATATAGGCTTTCGAACTTATTACTTCATGTATGATCACTAATATTTTGTTTGTGGATTCACCAATCAAACCAAAAGCGAACGCAACATACTTTGCGTGGACAAGACCGTATAGAAAAAACTAATATCAGGTAATGCTCACATTGCTTCTAGTACATGCGTACCAAGGGAGCCAAAGACGAAGTAAAGCTTTTTGGTACTGAATGGACAGACAAACTACAACACTTGTTCTACAATTGTTCGTTATTGCACACTATAGTTTTAAATGTGTTTATATGCGAGGGTAAGTGAGGAGTTATTCTTAAAGATGATGCATAGACTTTGTTTTCTTTCTTAAAATATAGGATTGGCTTTGTGTGCATGCTATGCAGAAGTTCCTCCAATTATTTTAAATTTAAATTTTAATGAAATTTTATACTAGCCTCATACAAATATATATGAACTTTACCTATTATAAGGTTAGTAAGCACCGGCTGTAGCGCAACCATAGTTGTTATTAGTGTAAATGTTATTAATATATTCGGTCGTGAAGACAGTATTATGCCCTATAATAGCAATGATATCATAAAGTATAAATATTAACACTGCGTTGTTTAATGGTTAATTATGTTTTATTTTTCTAGTTTTCTAAATTTTTTTGTGAGCATTTACTTGATATTAGATTTTTATATACGCTCTTGTCCAAGCAAACTATATTGCGTTTGCTTTTGGTTTGATTTGTGACTCCACTAACAAAAATTACAAAATACAAAATATTAGTGATCATACATGAAATAATAAGTTCGATAGTTGTTTATATATTTGAACAGATATGCGTGTATTATTATTTGGGGGATTATTATTAGCAGTTATGGTGGCTAACAGGTTAACACAATATCTTTTTGGCACGCCCTTAAAAGCGCATAACTTTAACAAGTCACCTTTTTTTATAAATTTATCTCTTTTTTGCTTTCAAATTTAACTTAAACTTTTAAACTTAAAAAGTATCTGTAGTTTTTGTGGTTTAAATTTAAGTTAAGTTTCGAGCTCATTGTTTTTTTGTTTTAGAGAATCGATACCTTTTATTGCATTTGAAACAAAGAAATTATTGCTAATATCAAGTTATTCATTATTATATTAGTTTTTACTCATTTAACATTATCTATTTAAGAATTCATTA